CACTGGCTTAGCAGATTTTGTCCATTTTCCATGTTTTTCTGATTTATGATTTTCTGCACTTTCTCTCTGATCCAGTATTCCCTCTAGTAGATCTTATTCCTCCTCTACTCAGACTTGCCCACCTACACATGGTTATGCATTCAAGTTTACAACTGGTCTTCCTTGTATCCAGCTACTCTTGATACCTGGGTCTCAAGCCATGTCTTCGTAATTAGTAGCCAGGTATCTGAGGCCACCATGGTGTCATATCATTTTAGTGTTCACCCAAGTTCTGTTCCCTTCACTAATCAGAAGATTGACTGCCTTTTCCAGGGTAGTCATTAGTAGCTCCACTTATCCCTCTTTTTAAGCGTCTTCCGTCCCTGGTGGTTGGGTCCCTGTGTGCTGCTTATGATACCAGGAAGGTATGACTCTTCTGTTCTGCCTGTTTCCTTGGTTAGAAACTGTAAAGGATGACTTCCAAAATCAGCTTATTATTTTTGTGTACCCAAGATCTGTAGACAGCTAGCCAGTGCCCATCTTATGTAGAGAGGGCATTCTAAGCCAGATATGATCCAGTCCCATGACTTGATCTGTACCCTGCAGGGCATGGCCTTTCTCCACAACAGCATTATTTCATCGCATGGGAGTCTCAAGTCCTCCAACTGTGTGGTGGACAGTCGTTTTGTGCTCAAAATCACAGACTATGGCTTGGCCAGCTTCCGATCAACTGCTGAACCTGATGACAGCCATGCACTCTATGCCAGTGAGGCCCACCCCCACAACCCACTTTTCATATTGCTCCTCCTTCCACCTAGGGAGGGTGGGAGAGGGAGGTGGAGTAACAGTAATATAGGGATGAGCCCAGGTAGGCTTGGGGGGTACCCCATTTTGGGGGACCTGGCCAGCCTGTTTCCTCTTTTCAGAGAAGCTGTGGACTGCCCCAGAACTGCTCAATGGGAACCCCTTGCCAACCACAGGCATGCAGAAGGCTGACGTCTATAGCTTTGGGATCATCCTGCAAGAGATAGCACTTCGCAGTGGTCCTTTCTACTTGGAGGGCCTGGACCTCGGCCCCAAAGGTAAGAGTCAATCCACTACCCACAGCTTCTTCCTGGGGGACTCTGTTCTTCATCCAAACCTTTGATCATCCTCAGAGATTGTCCAGAAGGTACGAAATGGTCAGCGGCCATATTTCCGGCCAAGCATTGACCGGACCCAATTAAATGAAGAGCTAGTTTTGCTGATGGAGCGATGTTGGGCTCAGGACCCAGCTGAGCGACCAGACTTTGGACAGATTAAGGGATTCATTCGACGCTTTAACAAGTGAGAGGGCATTATGGGGCAGGGTCTTCCCAGGGATAGAAGCCTCGTTTGTCCTAGTGCATGAAGTGGGGCAGGTAGGAACAGAGGGTGGGTTGGATAGGAAGTCCTGGAAGTCTTCAGAATCTTACAGCAAGTGCCATATCCTGGCCTTCCCCTAGGGAGGGTGGCACCAGCATACTGGACAACCTCCTGCTGCGCATGGAACAGTATGCCAATAACCTGGAGAAGCTGGTGGAGGAACGCACACAGGCCTATCTGGAGGAAAAACGCAAGGCTGAGGCTCTGCTCTACCAAATTCTACCCCAGTGAGACTTTGTCCTTCTTTCTAAAATTTCCTTTGGGATTCTTCTCTGTTGGGCTCTGCCTCTTCAGGTGCCTGAGAACTTGCCTCCCAACCCTCAGAACCCTGCTGGCCATGGGAGCCCCCTGGCTATATATATATTTGCTGTCATTCTGTCTGCACATCAGCTGTGCCGCCTTCTTCCTGGCTTCCCATCCCTTCTTCTTAAGACACTGCTCTACCATGCCCTTGCTTCAGCAAGTGTATACAAAACAGTCCCAACTTGAGACAGCTCCCATGCACAGGGGTCCCCTCAAAACCCCCCGCCACTTGTGCACCTTACCTTGCATTAGACTGTAATGTCTTCCCAGCCACTTTCCTCCCTCGTACCTGCAAAGCCCAGCTTTCTTCTTACAGCTCATCTCTGCTGCAGCCACATACCCCTTCCCTCTCTCCCTCTCCTACTCTCTTGGCTAAGTTTGGCTCACACAGCACCCTTGCTTCCTAGTTCAGTGGCAGAGCAGTTAAAACGGGGAGAGACTGTACAGGCTGAGGCCTTTGACAGTGTTACCATCTACTTCAGTGACATTGTTGGCTTCACAGCATTGTCAGCAGAGAGCACCCCCATGCAGGTGAGAGCCATAGGTGAGAGGTGTCGGGGTGAGGTGGGGTGGGTAGGGACCTGGGGGAGCCTCACTGATAATAGGGAAGATGAGTTTGTCCTAGAGTTCCCACCTCTTGTGATGGCTCATGGGTTAAGAATTCTTAGAGAGTTGGGCTCAAGTCTCAGGGCCTCTGCTTTTCCATCCCTCTTAGGTAGTGACACTTCTTAATGACCTGTATACCTGCTTTGATGCCATAATTGACAACTTTGATGTCTACAAGGTGAGAGCTGGGGCTGCCCTTCAATAGAAGGCCCTTCAATAGAGACCCCTTTGAAACCCAGTCTCCCTGAACCCCAAATACCTTACCCACTCCATGATCAGTTTCTCCTCCAGGGTCCCCAGCATTCTTGTGCTGGAGTGTACTTTGTAGACAGATGTAGCTCCTAGCACCATAATTGTATACTCCAGTTGAATTTCTTATGAATCTTTTGGCTTCCCTAATCAGAACCATCATGAGATGTAGCTCCTATCCTCCTGGGGTATAAACAGGCTATCCAGCATTTCTCTCCAGTCTTCTCCAAACATGGAAGAATCACACAGGATGTGGGGACAGACTGATTTAGTGGGGTGAGGGAAAATATATTTTAAAAAGTAAAGCCTTTGGTTCATTGACTTGGATTTATTGCCCTTGGGAGTAAAAATCATCTGGATTTGAATATTGACTTGTTGCTAACTGTAGCCTTAGGTAAGTAATAGATCTCTCTGCAACTCATTTGTTTTATCTGTAAGACAGGAATAATAGATATGTTGTATGGAAGGTGCCTAACATTGTTTGGCACGTGGCAGATAATAAATATCCATTCCTGTCCCTTCCCTTTCAGCTTACTCTACCATTTCTGTTGTTTCTGTGACAAAGAACTCCCAGAAACCCTTTATCCAGATTTATCAATTGTTTATATTTCCCTCATTTGCTTTATTTAAAAAAATCTATTTTCTGAACCATTTGAAAGTAAGTTTCAGACATACAACTACTTTAACCCTAAATACTTAGTGTGTATTCCCTAAAAACTTCACTGTGTATTTCTTGAAAACAATGGCATTCATTCTCTTACATAGCTTTGGTACAACTACCAGAATCAAATACCTGCTTTTCTCCAGTTTGGGCTCTCTGGTCCATTTCATTGGGCCTGCTTCACCTCCTCACCAGCCTCTGTCCTCTTGAGTTTAGCCTGTTCTCTTGCTTCTCATTTACTGATGGCAGAGCCTATTTGTCCATTTTCTGCTGCAGACAGGGTGTTCATTCATTCAGCAAACGTTTGCTGAGTGTTCACCAGGGGCTGGATGGAGAAAGAGGACTTAAAGATTCCCTTGACATCTCCTCTCCCCTGGACTCTCGGGACCAGGACACTTATTTTCTAGTCAATATTCTGGCCCCCAGGATGTCAGGATGATTCATGATGGTGTCCAGCTTGTCTCCCTCTACTCTTCTCCATCCCCATGGATACAAATAGAGGTGATGACCTTTTAATCCCCCTCTCAATCAGGTGGAGACGATTGGGGATGCTTACATGGTGGTATCTGGCCTCCCAGGCCGAAATGGTCAACGCCATGCACCAGAAATTGCTCGTATGGCCCTAGCATTGCTAGATGCAGTTTCTTCCTTCCGCATCCGCCACCGACCCCATGACCAGCTGAGGCTACGCATAGGGGTACATACTGGTAAGGCTGACTCTCACTCCAGCCCTAGTCTCCACTTTTTCCAGGCTCTTCCAACCTCTTTCTCCTCATAGGGCCAGTCTGTGCTGGGGTCGTCGGCCTGAAGATGCCCCGTTATTGTCTTTTTGGAGACACAGTGAACACTGCTTCTCGAATGGAGTCTAATGGTCAAGGTAAGATGTTAGCCCTCAACCCCACTGTTGGCCTCAATTTATCTTGCCCTTTTCTTCTTTTCATAGTTCCTCCAATCTCTTAATCTGAGAGACCACAGTTCCTTACTGTCGCATCCTTGGGTGTATTTTGGTTCTAGTAGATATGCATTGGGAGGTCTGGGAGCTTCCCAGGGATGGTTGGTTGGGTACAGTGCTATACAGTATTACCAATTCTTCGATTGCCTTTTCTTTGATTTCTCTTTCCACTCTCCTCCCCATCCTACTCACCCCAGCACTGAAGATCCATGTCTCCTCTACCACCAAGGATGCCCTAGATGAGCTAGGATGCTTCCAGCTAGAGCTTCGGGGGGATGTGGAAATGAAGGTGATGGCATGCCACAGGGATGGGCATGGAAAGGGAGGGTGACAGTGACTATGGGAATGATGAGGAAAGAGAGGGAGATAAAGGGACTAACATTGAAGCATCTGAATCATGTCCACTCTCCCACTTCCAGGGAAAAGGAAAGATGCGAACATACTGGCTCTTAGGAGAGCGGAAAGGACCTCCTGGACTCCTGTAAACCCCCATTCTTCCCAAGTCAGACAATCTCCTGCTGCTGGTACCTGGGTGGGCAGTGGCCACCATGTCTCCACACACCATAAATGGACATTTTCATATGCAATGGAAAACAGGCACAAAAACCCTACCTTATATGAAACTTGTAGCCCTCTGCAGCTCAGCCCTGTACATATACCTTTCCCTTTCTGGCTTGGTCCCCTTCCTTCCTACTTTCTGTAAATATCTGTATCTAAACCAGAATATTTTGGTCAAATATAAAACAACAATAAAAAAGTTCTGATGTCATAGTGTGGGATGAGGCGATCCCAAGGAAAGGTTATGGGGTATGCACACAGTGACTCACAGAATCACTAAATTAGCAGTCTCGGGATCAGAGAGAATGCTTTATGTAAAGCCTCTTCAAGTACAGTGAGAATTAACTTCCTCCCGACCTCTCTAGTGCAGACAGAAATAGATTCATATTCCATATCCCACTTCCCGCCTCACCCCCTCAGACAGGAGTCGTTCTCCCCACTCCACCACCCAGTCTTCCTCCCTTACAGGCAAGGGAGGATATTTCTCCCAGTTGGTGGGGGTAATTCTCAGGTTCATAGGGCAAAGGTTGCCCCAGAGACAAGGGCACTGGTGTTGAGAAGCTGCAGTTCTTCCGGAATGGTGTGTCCAATGTCCTGATGTTACTGACACCCTGGAGGAGTGCCAGGATGAGGACAGATCCCGCTGTCCCCAAGCCAGAACAAAGCAACTCTACCCTACCTTTCCTGACCCACTCTGCCCCCAGTACCTAGTCACTCTAACACACCGGTAGCTGTGGTGCCCTCTGGATCCAGAAGGTCTCAGGCTGCTCCTGGCGGTAGTCGTGAGGCTGTGAGGGAGAGTACTGAGTAACTCCTGGCCTTCACTCCTCTCTCTCAACTTCTGGGCCTGGTACTTGGCCACAGCCGGTCAGAGCCCAGCTATGCAAGTGGCAGGAGGTGGGGGGGGGTTGGTTCTCACCTTTGTTGGGGCAGGAGGCCCTGCTTTTGCCAGCTGCATTCGGTAGTCATGGTGTGTCACAGATTCAACCTCAAAGAGCTTCCTTGTGGGTTCCTGTTCTGCCTTCACCTCTTTACTGTATTTCCCTAAGGGGTGTCAAGGCCATCCTCACCCAATTTTTCTCCCCCCTCCCTCTTCCCCTTTACCCAATCTCTCACCAGATCTGATGGTGCAGGAGCATCTCCAGCATGGCTTCACGCTTCCCTGTGAGGGGGCATTGGGTGGGGTCTGGTTAAAAAGCAGGCCCAGAAGAAACTAGCTTGAGAAAAGGAAGAAAAACCTTGGGGTTCTGCCTTTATATCCATTGGACAATCCATAGCCCCACCAGAAATTCCTTCCTCTTTTTCTCTCTGACTAATGGACTCATTCCGGCCCACTCTCTCTCATGTTTCATACCTCGAAGTGGCCAATAGATGTTTTCTGGGGGCTGGTATGAGTCTTTCTGGGTGGTACTGGAGGGCATGGGTGACTTTGGTTGCATGGTCAGCAGTCCCTGGTGTCCGTGTCGGAAGAAAAAACTCTCAGAGCCATCCTGCATGCTTGGGACTTGATCCAGGTGGTTGGTGGCTCTCTGTGAATCCCAAGTTGAATGACTATAATATCCTTTCTGGTACCCACCGTCATATAAACCACTGCCTCCCTTAAGAACCTGAGGGCAGCCTTCAAGAAAAGTGAGCAGGCCAAAACTTTAATACCTCTTCCTCCCAGTTGTAGAGGAGGCACTGGCCCCGTGGCAATGTTTCATAGAGATCCGTAGGCTTCCCTTTAACATCTGGGGGTTTCCGTATTCCTCGGGCACCTGGTTCTAAGACTTGCAAAAATTCCCAAGATGGTTGTTTCTGGGGCTTCCAAGGGCAGTGCTGACTCCAGGAGGTATCACTAGAGACCAGATCTGCCATCAGGTTTCTGAACGCTGGAGGAGTGCAGGGGCTGAGCTCAGAGTCAGGGCCAGTGCCTGGACCAGGTCCAGATGCAGGACCAGGATGAGAGCCAGAGCCAGCAAGAGAGCCAGAGCCAGGACCAGGACCAGAGCCAGGACCAGGACCAGAGCCAGGGACAGAGCCAGAGCCAGGACCAGAGCCAGAGCCAGGGACAGAGCCACAGCCAGGACCAGAGCCAGAGCCAGAGCCAGAGCCATGGTCAGCACCTGAGCTAGAGCTAAGAACAGGGTCAGAGCTAGAGCCTGGAACAAGGCCAGGGTTAGAATTATAGTCAGTTGTAGTACAAGGGTCCTGAGCAATACAGGAAACATGGACGGGCTCAAAGCCAAGACTCCCATGGGCTATATTGTGGGTAAAGCTGGGTCCCGCACAGGGCTCCCCAAGAAGGCTAGGGTCAGAGGAGGGCTCCATGAACTCAGAATAGGGCGCTGGGGTCTTTGTAGGTAACGCAGCTGCTTTGGCGGTGGTGATGGCTGCAGTAGCTGCAGCAGCTGATGCAGCCGCTGCAGCTGCTGCAGTTGCGGCTGCCAGGGCCGACTTAGGACTGTCATCTGAAGAAGGTAACGGTTCCAAAGTGGACCCCAGTCCTTCGGAGCTGGGCTGTATGTCTAAAGCTCTGAAAGAAAGCAAACATGACAAGGCTGTTAAAAGCGCAGCAAAGGAAGTCCGCTGACCTTCCTTGTCTCCTTACGCCTGCAGCCAGAGCTGCGACTCTCACCGCGATTGCGATTCCTCCGTAGACTCGTTGGTCTCCATCTTCGGACTCCAGCTACCGGGTTGCTATAGAGACAGCAAACAACTCCTGGAGTCTGCGCAGAAGTAGAGTTGGGCGGACTTGGAGGTGGGGGTGGAGGCAGGTCCTCTGCGGGGCGGAAGTCTTCAGCCCGGTGCTGTCCAGGAGGTCCTCTTTCCGGTCCCGACAGCATTCCGCCTCAGCCGGGCTTTTAGGGTTCCGCTGGCCTAAGACCTCGCCCTCCACGCCGCAGCAGTCTTTGCGGTTTTCTAAGGTGATGCTTTATGGAGATATGTTGGAGACAGGCACAGGGCTGTGGCATTAGGTAACAGCCTACTTGGTGTTTGCAGGGGCAACAGTAGCTTCCCCTTAGCTTGCTTAGTTCATTCTCAAAAGCGAGTGGGGTCTTTAACAAATGTTAGGATGAAAATACACAAACCAGCTTGAGCAAATGGTGAGACATGGAATAGTGAAAAGGCAGCCGCTTTTGTTTGGGTGTGATTACTTCTCCTCTAATAAAAGACCCTCATATTGACCACCCTCCTCCTAAGCCCCTTTAGAATGTGGTTTGGCCTCTGAAGAAGGGCCAGGATTGAGCAAGTCTTAGATCTGGCTTTCGGTTTCTTCCTACTCATTTAGGCTCTTTCCTACTGTTACTTTTCTAGAAGTTTGACCTAGGGTGGACCACTTGTCAAGAAGACTCACATATCTGCAGGCAACTTTTATGGACCTCCTCAGTGTCTTCTGCTCAGACCAGTCAAGGGGCATCATAGCCGTGAATCAGTTTTCTTTCCCCTTTGTGGTATTAAATTTTATATATTTAAGACAGGAAAGCATAATTAAGGGAGAAGAGTTTTATTAGCATCACAAAGTCCCTTATTCCCTTTCCATCCAAGCATCCAGGGTCTGGGGTCCTTTGGTCAGTTGGCAGGTTCAACCTGGAGGCCACTGGAGCTGCCGGCCCCCAAGTACATGAATATGCAGGTGATACACAGATTGTGCACCCAGCTTCCCATCGTTGATCACTGAAATTGAGCTTGGGGTTAGGAGTCAGGATCATAGCAGAGGTCAAAGAATGAAGATCATACTGAGGAGTAGGAATGAGAATTCATGGGTGAGGAACCAAGGACCAAAAGTCACTCACCAAGTCGGTATCCATCTCCCAGGCCCTCAGCCTTTGCAATCTTCTTGGCCACAAGGAGTAGGTGTCCTAGAAGCTACAGGGAGAGTGGAGGGACATAGGTGGCTTTATTCATAGGAAGCAAGACCTCTAGCTGGGTCCAGGGCTCCTCCCAGTCAAACCCTGGCCCTGTTCTTCCCACCTGCTGGTCTTCTTCTTCAGCCTGGCTAATCCGAGGAATGGGCTTCTTGGGAATGACCAGGAAGTGCACAGGAGCCTGAGGGGCCACATCACGGAACACAAGACACTGGGAGCAGTGACAGGCCAGAGGCCACATTACTTCAACAGGCTGGATAGTATCTATAATATTCCTAAGGGGATGGGGCCTAAGGGCACCCCACCTGCTGATCCTCATAGAGAATGTCAGCTGGGAGGCTCCTGTCCAGGATCCGGGAGAAGATGGTTGGGGCTGCTCCCCCAGGAGTTGCCTGCTGGGCCTTGGCCACTTCATTCCCAACAGTCACACCTGCAGCTCCTCGGACCTGAAGGTGGATCAACCATATTCAAAGGAGAGAGTTGGCAACACCTCTCCCATGTACTCAGAGCTGGCAGAAGTTGGGCTCTGATAGTTGTTAACTTCATCCTAAGAACCTATTCATGGCTCCCACCCAGGAGAAAAGTTCCTGAATTTCAGAGCACCAGCAGCAAAGTGTAGGGCCAGATGGTGCTGGGCCTGGTAAGATGACAAGCAGTCTTACTACCCAGGATTCGGCAGTGCAATTGATTGCTGCTCACGTGTCTATGACATATAGCACTATTCAGGGAAAGGATCCAGAATGAGAGACTGGGGATTTTGGTCTCAGTTCCTATCTTACCATACCACTGAGTGACCTCAGATAAATCCCTTCTCAGCTTCTAATATAAAATAAAGGGTGGTTTTCATCATCTGTTATGGTGGCTTGAACCTCTTTCCACTCTCATCTTGTTAGTACATTTCCACTTATTTCTGTTACTTGTTTTCTGATCTTTAAGCCTTGTCACCTATTTTACTTAGGTTTTAATGCAGTTGCCCTGTTTGACACTAGTTGACCCCTCATCTGGGTGTCACATATGACTCTGTGGGTTTTAACTCTTGTCCCTTCAATGAGTGGAGGTAAGAGCTCAGCTAAGTGACCTCTGCTCCCCCAGCCCCAGGGGACTGCAGGTAGGGAAGTCCCAGTTTCCCAGGGATTCAGAGAAGGCTGAAGTCAAGGCATCACGCTGGAGGAGAATGGGACGGGATGAATTCTCTGAACCCGGAGCCGCTTCTGGCAAGTGGAGAAGAGAGGTTAACACTGGTGCTTATTAGGAGGCCAGAGGCCAGAGCAGGGCAGAGCACTGACTCCAAGAAGAAAAAGCTCATTTCCTGCAGGGGGCACCGGGCCAGCTGGGTTGCAGGCAGGGAGGCGAAAGAAGGCGGCAGCCGCTGCAGTGACCCTGTCCTGACCTCGGCGCCCCGGCCTGCGCAGGGCGGGGGTCATCGCTAGCTCGCTCTCTGGAGTCACCAGTCCGACCTCACCGCACAGGCCCGAAGCTTGTGCCTCTGAGGGGCAGACTGCGGTCACAGGCGGGAGCTCTGCGCGCCTTCGCGAGTCCCAGGCACCGGATGGCGTTAAGAGCCCGCAGGACTCCCTACTCGTCCCCGCGCCACTTCTCACCTGCGCCCCGCGTGCTCCCGCGGCCGCCACGGCTCTGCGCGCGGCGCGCAACCCAGCGACCAGCACCACGGCTGCCGCCATCTTCCCGGAGCCGCGGGAGACTCTCACGCTGGTCACCACTCCGCTCGGCTGCCGGCAGGGGGCGGGCAGTCGGGGAGCTGGGAAGCTGGGTAGCGGCGACCGGCGAGCCCTGCCACCCATTGGAGCGCACCTCTGGGCACAATTCACCCCATTGGCTCTGCGGCCACTTTGGAGGCGGGCTCTTTTTATCCCATTGGCTTCTTCTACCAAGGCCAGGACAATTTTCCATTCCATTGGCTTCGTCTTCCGGTCCTTGTGAACGTTCTTTTCCCATTGGATCCCCTAACTAGTTTCGCTGTTAGAGAAACTTCCACACCATTGGAAGGATTAAGAAGCCTAGAGGTGGGATTTTCTCCGAGTTGGATCTGATACAAAACACTGGGTTCTAGGTTGCGACTCCCGAGTGGGTGGGGCTTTTCGTTCTTGGCTTGTCCTCTTCAGGCCTGGTACCTATCGGTGCGCGGGGAGGAAGGGGGCGGGGCTCCGTCACCTGCTGCACAAATCGCTATTTTAGACCTTGTCACCGCTTTGGCGAGGAGGAGGGCGGGGCTCTGGGCCATCCGGCGCTTATTGGCTCTAAGAACCACACGGGGTGGGCCAAAGGTGGACGGGAAGGAGTTTGGCTTTTGTTGTTTTATTTTGTCTTTAACTGGCGGGGCTGATGCGCAGCATTTTTTCCACAAAGGCAGTTTCAGTCCCTTGAGCATTTCGCAGATTTTAATGTACTCATCTAAGGGAAATTATTTCTTAATTCTATGTTCTTGTTAACGCGTTCACTCCGTAGGTTAGAAATTCTGTAGTTTTTGCATTTCTTTTTTTCAGCAACCGGAGATAGGAGTGTCCTATCTTTGCCGCACAGCTATTAAAGTAAGCAAAGGAGTATGTATTCATTGTCCTTTTCTAATCAGAAAAGGTGTGTGATACGGTTAACTCGGTGCCGGGCGTTTTCCACGAGTCAGGTTTGCACTGCTGAAATATATGTAAGTATATATATATATATGTATGTATGTATTCTGGAATATATATACTGGAATATACATATATATGTTTCCGTCTCTACTAAATATATACACACACACACACACACACACACACATATATATATATGTATATATATATATATATATATAATTTTTTTTTTTTTTTTGAGACCGAGTCTTGCTCTGTTGCCAGGCTGGAGTGCAGTGGTGCGATTTCGGCTCACTGCAACTTGTGCGTCCCGGGTTAAAGATTCTCCTGCTTCAGCCTCCCAAGTAGCTGGGACTACAGGTGCGCGCCACCACGCCCAGCCAATTTTTGTATTTTTTAGTAGAGACAGGTTTTCACCCTGTTGGCCAGGATGGTCTTGATCTCTTGACCTCGTGATCCACCCGCCACGGCCTCCCAAAGTGCTGGGATTACAGGCATGAGCCACCGCTCCCGGTCTGGAATAATATATTTTTGACATAAGAAACATGGGGTCACAAAATACTAATATTGACACTAGGAAAGTTTTAGTCTGACATCACATAGGACACGTTACTACTGTTTCTTCCGTTTTTCTTTTTTTAACACATGGCCTGATACATACAGGTGCTCAGTAATTGTTGAATGAATATTTGGTGTTTCCTGTCATTTTTTCATAATATGTAATAATATGTATTACATGATATTCACCTATGTGTACTACTTTTACATAGTCTATGTAAATATACTTTGCATTGGCTGCATATTATTTCCTTCAATGAGTTTATCATAGTAATTCTAACTCTACTGTTGACTATTAGTTGAATTAGTTTTAGGTGAATGGTTGTCATGGTGCATATAACCACTGTCCGGGAACTCTTTGCTTCTAAAGTTAGTACAATCTCTTTTGTATAGTTATATTATTGTTAAAAAGTCCTTTCTCCTCGAAAGGGCTGACATTTGATTCTGTGATTTTCCCCAGGGCTCCTAGGAGTCCAGATGGCCTCCCAACTGTGAGGAAGTATAGAATGGCCTCTTTTGTCCCCAGAGGTTGCAGTTCTCTGCAGTGCCTCTGGGACACTGGGAGACCCTGGAGTTGCCCTGGAGAAGGGAAAGGGTAAGTGGATCTGGGATCTAGGAAGAGGAAGTAAGCCAGTCTAGAGGGTACGTGGATACAAAGCACTTTGAAATTAGTTATTTCTTTGGTTCTCATAGAAAGCAGGCAACACAGAGGTTATTCCTGTTTTACAGATCCAGAAACTCAGCCTAAAGAGGGACAGTGACTTGCCTGGGGTCACTGAGCCCGTTAGTGTTCGAATCTCCTACTCCCAGAAGAATCTATGTACTTCCTAGTCACTTCCCACATTCACTGATTTTGATCCCTGGCCACAGTCTTCTCTACTCCAATCACTCGTCATCACCTATAGTTGCCCTCATCTGAAAGATGTTATGCTCTGCAGCCTCTGAGCAATGTCACCTGTACTTCAACCCTTGCCTCAGCGTCTGCTACTGGACCTCGTTACAGACTTCTCTTCCTTTGATTGCTCCATTTTCCCGTCTGTCATTTGCTTCCTGGCATCACTTTCTTTCCCTATTGGTACCGTATGCTCCTTTCACATCCTCATGCCTTCTTTTGCTTCATTTTCCTGATCATCCTCCCATCACCAACCCATTAAATATTTGGCTTCTCTGCTCCTCTAACTAGGTTCTCACTTCCAACTGTGCCTGAATCCTAAACTACCCACTGATCAGGTTTTTCTCCAGTTCCCTACATTAGCCTTCCCAAACCTTCCCTTTTCTTTTCTCCTGCTTCCTACCCACTCTTATCCCTCTACCCCTGGACCAATGGCTGGTCTTATCTCCCACTTCGCAGGGCATATAGAAGCCATCGAAGGGGAACTTCTACAGTTTCCTGTTCCCTGAAACTTCAGGAAGACTCCATCCTCTTCCTTCCTCTTGGCGATAGCAAGTGGTGTTTCTCCTGTTCAGAGCAAATCCCTTTACCTCTGTCTTGACCTCATCCCTTTCCTCCATCTCTGGGATCTTGTCCCACCAGGCATCTCTCCTCTCTCTTCTGGGTCCTTTCAGGTCCCTTTGTCCACTGGCCTCTCTCCTTTTTCCTTCCCACAAAAGTGCTTCCTTGACTCCACAACTCCCTCTGGATATTGTCTGACTTTTCTTTTGCACTTTTCACCCAAGCTTCTTTAAGAGACTCCTTGAAACTCACTGCTGTTTGACTCCTGCCTCCACTGTGCCAGTGTGAAACTGCACTGTCTGAAGTTCCCAAAGATCTTCTAATTACAAAACCCCATGGATGCTTTTCAGTCTTTATCTTATTGGTGCCCCGACTGTATCTAACATCACTTTTCACTGTATCCTTCTTGAGACTTTCTTCCTTCTTGGCTTCCTTGAAGCCACTCTCCTTCTGATATCAGAGCAGGCAGCTTGAATGTGGGTGTGATGGAGGCAGATAGCAGGATCCAGGCTCTCTACTGTGCCTAAGAAGTGTTCACTCTAAGTTATTAGGCAGTCTCTCCCTGGGCTGGGACCTGTCTGCCCCATATAGAGCCAAGTCAGGTTCCAGTGACTCCTCTTTTATTGCTGATCTGGGCCAGACTCACAAAGGCCTGTGCCAGTTGCTGACAGTGTCTGTCCCTGGAGGAGGGAAGAGCAGAGGTGAAAGGATCAGGTATGGGGGTCAGATGGGGGGCTAGGCTGGAAGGTGTGTGGGCCAGGGAGTCCCAGGGGACTAGGGTGGGAGCTGGGAAGGCCAGAGGGTCCCTGTATCTGCAGGGCCTCAAAGTCAGAGTTGCTGAGGATGGCTTCTCGGAGGACAGGCATTTCTGCAAAAGGTATATAGTCTGCTCCTGCGGGTGAAAACCAGTACAGATATGGGATGTGGGTAGGTGGGTGGCGGGGGGGGGGGCTGCGGGAATGCGCTAGTTCTAGAGGGGATGGTTGAGGATGGGAGACTTCCTGCCTGGCCTTCTGACTACAGACCCTGGAATGGCTCCCGTCTCAGGTTTCTGCCTCACCGTAAGGCCTCCCTCCTCGTTGCCGGGTCTTCTGAGTCTCAAAGAAAGTCTCATGTTCCTCCCAGCGCCGGTCACAGGCCGCACAGAGGAAATTAGACTCAAAACAGCTGCAGCAACAGCCTGGGGCAAAAGTGCAGCCAAGAAGAGTTTAGGAAATGGCGGCATTCACAGGAGCTGACCACATTTCTCATCTCTTCCTCACTGACCGCAGGCCCAAGGCTCTCATACCTGCTCCCCACCATTAGCCCCAGGCTGCATCCTATTCCCACCTGCCCCGCTCCCAATATGCCCCTTGCCCTAGAAGTTACCATGATGCCTGCAGGGATGGGGCCCACTGGCTGCATGTTCTTCGTGGCTATGTTTGCAGCGACATTGGGCCCTCCAGGCCTTGGGGTCAAAGGTGGCCCGTCTCTTGAGCCAGAACTCACCCACCTCTTCTGGGCGTGACGGAATAAAGCAGAACATGAGGCAGCGGCACTGGCTCACCTTGCAGGGCACCGATATGTCTGTGAGAATGGGGATGGGTGGTTCGAGTTAGACCAGTATCTGATAGAACCTTGCCTTGTCATGCCAATCCCCTCCTCCATTCCCCCCGCCCTGCTCCCTATGCACGCACACGTGCTTTCTCTCATACTTCCCAAGACGTGACAGAGTACAGTTATCCCTCCACACCTGAGAGGGGCTGGTCAGGTCTCCCCTACCTGAGATAATCCGGTGCTCTCTCAACAAGTGTCCACAAAAGCATCTGGACTCACTCCCAATCCGGAAACAGTCCCATAGGTAATGGGGGCAGCGCCAGCCAATGTAGAGACCTAGGTGTGCAGGATTAATAAGGAAAAGTAAGAAGAAAAAAAATCCTAAGCTCCCCGGAACTGGTCTGACCTATCCCTTGATGGGGGTGAGGGGTGGGGGGAACTTACCTCTCCCCACTCCCAGGTATCTTTACCTCCACCTGGAAGTCCTTGCCTCTACCCCTTAGACTTTCTTTTTCCTCAGGGTTTGCTCATTACCCCACTAGTGGCTTCAGTTCTCATTCTACCCAGGACCTACTCCATCTGTCAGCCTGCCAGAGATGACTCAAGAGAGTCTTCGGTTTCTGAGCAGGAAGATTATAGATGAAATTTTGTTTGAGGATCAACATGAATATCACTGAGTTCTCTGTAACCATAGGGATTCTCATCTCCTCTCCTCACTCCACTAAAGCCCTTTAGACACTTTGTTTACACTTAGGAAGCGTCTAAGGTGTAAAGACAATTCTGCTGAAATGTCACCTCCACCAAAAATGGTCTATTATAATGCATTGTATTGGGATAGGAATAGCACAAGGAGCTGCAGATGGTAAGAGGAGGGGCCCAGACAGACAGGAGAATTTACAGTGCATTATAATAGACCATTCCCTTGTATTCCCATTAGTCCATGAGTTCTTCAAGGAAGTTGTCTTTTCACCCATATCTCTCATCCTAGCACAGGGCCTGGCAAAGAATAGTTGCTGAGAGAACATAGATTGCCTGATTAAACAAATGAGCTAATTAAGAGGAAGAGAGAGCCAGTATTCAGGCATAATCCTGATGCTCCCCTAAGATGATTAAGGAGAGTGGCATCCTCTGGTCTTTGACTCTGGTCAGGGCCACAATTCACAATTCTGTGCCTCAGATTAAGTTTTCCTATCTTACCCATAGTCTGTCAGGATCTAAAGCCTGTCCAGATGTGGCTTTTGGCTTTGCTGCTTCTGTCTTGATGCTGATTGCCTGTAGTGCCAGTGCCCCCTTACACCAGGGAGGCTTTGTTGAGAGAGCAGGGTATAGGCAGTCACAATGGGGGGTGGGTGGGAGCCAGGATTCCACTAGGGGAGTTCTGAATTCTGTCTGGAGTAGCAGGATGCATTTAATAAGCAGGAGGTGAGGCCCATGGATCGAGGCCTGCTCTGAGGGCCCAGGGCGGGGGATGGGGGAGGAGTCAAGTCCAAGCACCAGGGTAGGAATCAGAACCCAGCATTCAGATGAAGACTGGAGTTTGAACAGGGAGACTGGCAACTATGCTTCAGATTCTATTACAAGTGTTAGTGCTCTTAAAGTGGGACAATTGGAAGGTGGCTGTGGATTCCAGTGGGACCCTCTGCTCTCTGTCCTGAATCCAGAATCCCTTCCTTTTGTGGGTGGACAAGGCCTGGCAGAGGGAGGAGACATTACCTGGGATACCATTTTGATTCTGTCTAACACAGTCCAGTTCCACAATCGCAATCATATTTGCATGATGACATCTCTTTACGCATAGTATGTATCCATAAAACACACGGGTGTCTTTACAGGAACAATGTCTCTAGCTTAGCCCTCTCTCCTGAGCTTCAGACCCATATAGCTAGCTGTCTACTAGACTCTTGCACCAGCATGTTTCATAAGCACTTCAAATCTTATACCCAATTATTCTCTCCAAACCTGGCTCTCATCTTTGTCCTCTGTTCATCCAACACATGCTTACCAAGCATCTACCCTTCTTCAGGCATTCAGTGAATGACACCATCATCCTATCACTTACTTACACTAAAAACTTAGGTGTCATTCCCAGCATTATTTTCCTCTCTCTTGTCCTATACATCCAGTGTTTCAATGGTCAGTTTTACCTTGTAAGCATTTCTTTCTTTTTTTTTTTTTTTTTTAAGACAGAGTCTCACTCTGTTGCCCAGACTGGAGTGCAGTGGTGCAATCTTGGCTCAGGACAACCCCAATTCTCCTGCCTCAGCCTCCCCAAGTAGCTGGGATGACAGGTGCCTGCCACCACACCCAGCTAATTTTTTGTATTTTTAGTAGAGATGGGGTTTCACCATGTTAGCCAGGCTGGTCCTGAACTCTTGGCCTCAGGAAACCCAAGCACTAGTGTAGGAATCAGTGTAGCATAGGAATCAGGCTGCCTTGGCCTCCCAAAGTGCTGGGATTACAGGTGAGCCACCACATTCAGTCCGTTAGCATTTCTTGAACCTGTCCACTTCTCTCCACCTACAGCCATCTACTTCTTACCTGGATTATGACCAGTACCTCACAATGTATTCAGTGTCCTTTCCACACCTCCTCTCAGCCTCACAACTCCAGTCTTGTCTTTCTCTGGTCTATCTGATTGCCAGAGTGATCTTTCAGAAACACAAATCTGTTCATGTTATTGTCCTACTTAAAATCTTTTAGTGACTCTCAGTTGCCCTCGGGATATAATCCTAGCTTTTTAGTTTGGCACAGAAATGCCTGCACAATTCTGCCCTTCTGGAGCTGAGCTGGCTCTTCTCCCCAGCGCTCTATGCATCAGGCATAGCGCATTGCTATAGATTCCTGCCGTGCCTTACCCTGTCCTGTCTCATCTTACACTACTCTTTACTTGGCCACCTCTTCTTACTCATCTTACAGATATCAGCTGAGAAGTTATTCCTTCCAAGGCTTATTATTCCTCAAGCACTCCAGATAAGATGTCCCTTTTTTTATGCTCATGCAGCAGTGTGGGATAACCTTGATTATAGCAATTATTAGAGTGAATTATAATTGTCCCTTTACTTACTGGTATCTCTCATTAGAGTACAAAGTATTTTGTCTTTGAACCCCCACCAGCATTACCACTTCCATAACCAGCTCAATGCCTGGCACACAGTTAGTGCTCAATAAATGTTTGTCGAATGAATAAAAGCAAAGGTTACACTTGATATTTCTGTACATATCACATATACTGTTAAGGACTACCCAGGACTCAACATTCCCACTACTAGGAGGGGACTTCAAATATAATTGTTCAGGGTTGAATGACACAAATTTCTTTTTTTTTTTTGAGACGGAGTTTCGCTCTTGTTACCCAGGCTGGAGTGCAATGGCGCGATCTCGGCTCACCACAACCTCCACCTCCTGGGTTCAGGCAATTCTCCTGCCTCAGCCTCCTGAGTAGCTGGGATTATAGGCACGCGCCACCATGCCCAGCTAATTTTTTTGTATTTTTAGTAGAGACGGGGTTTCACCATGTTGACCAGGTTGGTCTTGATTTCTTGACCTCGTGATCCACCCGCCTCAGCCTTCCAAAGTGCTGGGATTACAGGCTTGAGCCACCGCGCCCGGCCACAAATTTCTTTATAAAACTTCCTGTTTAAACAGGAAGATGAAGGCATTCGATTTGAAGAAAAAAAAGAAATACTGTGGCCTTGAGGAGTGGGGAGTAGACAGGAGGTTCTGAGGAGGGGAATAAGATGACTGAACACATCCTGCTTTTTTTTTTTTTTTTTGGAGACATTCTGTCACCCAGGCTGGAATACACTGGCACAATCATGGCTCACTGCAGCTTTGACCTCCTGGGCTCAAGTAATCTGGCCACCTCAGCCTACTAAGTAGCTGGGGCTACAGGCATGCACCACCATGCCTGGATAATTTTATTTTATTTTAGTTTTGTAGAGATAGGGTCTCACTATCTTGTCCTGGCTGGTCTCTAACTCCTGGGCAATTAAATGATCCTCCTGCCTCAGCCTCCCAAAGTTTTGGGATTACGGATGTGAGCCACCTTGCCAGCCAGCATTTACAAGCAAATAAGAGTAACTGAATATGTTAATATAAGCAAACAAAGCTATTTCAATGCCTGAATTGAGACTAGGAAACAAATGAGATCACTATGACTTTCTTGGCTCAGTGGTGGTGCGGGGGTGGCGAGGCCGGAGTGTTGGAGGGTTCCTGTATAGGAAAGGGGAATGTAAATTTCATGGAGGAGGGATAAGCATTTAGAATTACCTGGTTATCTTTATATTTTAGGCCTTTCATTATAGCTGTACATCACAAAGGGAAAGGAAGTATGAGGGACCAAAATAAATTCAGAATTCAGTCTAGAAATACCAGAATTCTTATACCATGTCAGGGTGGCCTTCTTACTGAAGGTAGTCCCTATAGATACGAATTTCCATAACACAGGTAGACATGCTCACACACAGGATGGCATGTTTTTATAAGCTCATCTGTACATAGCATGCCACTAATAGGACTGCCAAGAGTACTATTTGTAGGCTGAGGCTGGGAAACAGCAGGGCCAGAGGACATGGCTCTCCCCTTTTATAAGGAAACTCAAAGCTTTTGGGTAGCCAGCATGGGCCTGGCATGCAGGGGTGACAGCCTTTTAGTGGAATTCCACCAGGGGGTCTAAGGTCTTTGTCATGTCAGAACAGCAAGTCTCCTGGGGACTGTCCAGGGTCCTGGGCCATCTCTGCTTTAGGGTCTGTGGGCTCTCTGGGCCCTATATCTGGGGTGGGCCCATGACCCTTCTGTTTTCAATAATGTTAGTTCAGCTACCTGTCTCTACCTGGGCTTTAGATGAATCTCCCCACTTCTTGTCTGCATCCACCCTTGTATTCCTTGGCCCACTTTCCTGCACCCTTTCCAGGCAGGTGGTATTGCCCTTTCCAAAAGGGGCAGCTATCTGTTGAATGTTCAGGTTCCCAGATCCTTTCGGATTAGAGGATGGCCTATCACAGGCCTCTGAAAGACCACATGGGCTCACCTGTCTGGATGGCATTCAGGGCTGCATCCTTCTCCCATTGGAAAAGATTGTTCACTTGAGCACCAAACTTCTCTTTGTGCATTGCCTTAGCCACTTCCACCAGCTCTGCCTGCTTAGCAGGGACCACTGGGTGGGCTGTGTAACCTAGGATGGGAGGGGCTGAGTAACCAGGAGGCCCAGGGGCCATGTCCAAGAGTAACCCAGTCTCCTCCTGGGGCGAGTCAAGGACAGTGAACAGTAATGAGAATAGGACAGGGGAGAGGACAGGAGCAATTACGGCTAACTCCTTTCTTCTTCTTCTTGCCCAGCTGGTGTCCAGGCTGGGCTGTGTGAGCAGTGCTGTCACTGGCATCTACCCCCTTTTCAGTCTCTCCTGCTTCTTCCTTCTGCTTTTCAGATGTGTCCATTTGGACCTGGGCTGAAGGGCCTGAAAGGGAGTGCTCTGGAAGGCTCTCAGATTCAGAGAGATGAGTCGACCTCCTTGTCCATGGGACCTCATTGGAAGAAGACTCAGAGGAGAGGTCTTCCTTCAAAGTATCAGAGGAAAGCAGAGAGACATAGTCTACTGATTGGGGAGGAAGAGTTAGGTGTTTCTTTGGCACCACTGAGATGGGACTATCCAATGAAGCCTCATATGTAGGGATCTCTGAAGGGGTCTCCGAGGTGGAAGGCTCCTGATGGGTTTCAGAGGAATGGGCCCCTAAAGGGGTCTGGGAAGGGGTTGGCACCAAAGGGGATTCAGAGATATGGGGCTCTAAGGGGGTCTCAGAGGTGGTAGGCTCCAAGAAGCCTTCAGAGATATGGTTCTCCTGTAAGTCCTCAGCAGACAGGCCCTTTGAAGAGGGGTGCTCCTCTGCATCCATGGTGGTATGAGGCTCTTCTGTGACCTCGTCTGCTTCCATCTAGTGGTAGAACAGGGTACAGGCTTCATTATATTAGAATTAGAGGGCCTGCAAGTCAGGGCAGAGCCCAGGTTTCACAGTACATTATGGAATTTGGATAAGGTTGTCAGGGCACCTGAGATATAAGAGGGAAACAACATAAGCTCTGGGTCTTAGAATGTGATCCAGGAGCTTCACCTATGTGTCCAGACCTCATATGGCATGCTGCTGTGGCTTGCTAGGGAGTTGAACTTAAAGATTGAAAGGCTGAAGTAGAATCCCATCAGTAGATGGTAGCAGAGAACCATGTCCCAGGAGGGAGTCTGAACATAGCCACTTGGCCAGTCCAAGAGCAGGGTCCTTGGCATATCGTAAAACCCTAGAGGTCAGACCATGGAGTTCTAGAGACTGGGAATACCAAGCCAAAGCTGGGGTTGGCTCCTGAGAGTGCAGAGGAATACTATGTCGCATAATGCAAGACCCTGCACGTAGCCTGGTTTTGTCTAGGCACCACACACATCCTCCTTCCTTGTTAATGTCATTCATATTCAAAGCTTCAACTACTTCCAGCTATGTGCCAAGGACTCCTAAATTCATACTTCTAGCTCAGACCTTTTTCAACCCCACCGTGTACTTCACACTCCTACCCACCTGCCTGCTGGCCTTTTCTTTCTTTCTTTCGTTTTTTTTTTTTTTTTTTTTTTTTTTGGCAACTGAGTCTCACTCTGTTGCCCAGACTGGAGAGCAGTGGCGCAATCTCAGCTCACTGCAACCTCCACCTCCCAGGTTCAAGTGATTCTTCTGCCTCAACCTCCTGAGTAGCTGGAATTGCAAGTGTGTGCCACCACGCCTAGCTAATTTTTGTATTTTTAGTAGAGATGGGGTTTCACTATGTTGGTCAAGCTGGTCTCAAACTCCTGACCTCAGGTGATCTGGCCGCCTCAGCTTCCCAAAGTGCTGGGATTACAGGTGTGAGCCACTGCACTCGGCCCCTGCTGGTCATTTCTAACTGGGTGTTTCCACAGGCATCAAAACTGAACTTTGGGAATTATCCTAGTCTCTTTTTCCCTTAGACTCCATCTTCAAATAGGCACCAATGACTGTATTTCCTATCTTCTAAATATTCTCCAAATGCATTCTCTCCTCTCCCTTCCAATCTTATTCAAGTTTGCATCATCATTAGCCTTTGTGCAATAACTTTGCCCCTCTACTTCCATCCACAGCATTTTAATCCATTCACCCATTCTTTCATTCATTTATGTAATTTACACTTTTACAAAGAGCCTAATCTGATGCTTTTCCTAAGCTCTAGATTGAGTTGAGTCTAACAGAGACCAATTAACCAACAATGGCAATGCAAATAAAGTGATGTTGTGCTGGAGTGAGCATAGGATGCTGTTGGGAGGGGATATGCCTAATTTATCCTGCAAGGATGTAGTCCTCCTTCCTGACCCAATCAGGATCTTTCTAAAGTGCAAACCCATCACTGGCACTTTGCGGCTTATAAACATGCCATGACTCAGTCTAAGGGATTAAGTCTAAATTTCTTGGCCCTGGTATTCAAGGCCTGTCATCATTTTCAACACAGCCTGAGTATTCCTGCCTTAACTTTCCATGCTCCCTACTTTCCCCTCATGTTTCAGAGATACTAGATATATCACTCCTTAAACTCATCAGAGCCTTTTCAAAGGGAAAGTTTGGGAAGGGAAGTAGGGGGAGAGGTAGGATTATGGGGAGGAAAATGACCAGAGTCAGCTAGAGGGAAAAGGGACCTAAGAGTGGAGAACCAGAGGATGGAAGGTGAGGAAGGGGAAAGAGAAGGGAAGGAGGATTGGGTGGAGGAGGAGAGTAAGGATGAAAAGTGCAGAATGTGGGCCAGGCATGGTGGCTCATGCCTGTAATCCTAGTGCTTTGGGAGGCAAAGGCAGGTGGATTACTTGAGTTCAGGAGTTCAAGATCAGCCTGGCCAACATGGTGAAACTCAGTCTCCACTAAAATTATGAAAATTAGCCGGGCATGGTGGCAGGCGCCAGTAGTCCCAGCTGCTGGGGAGTCTGAAGCAGGCAAATCATTTGAATTTGGGAGGTGGAAGTTGCAGTTAGCCAAGATGGCACCACTGCACTCCAGCCTGGGTGACAGAGCGAGACTCCATCTCAAACACCACCACGACCACCACCACCATCACCATCACCATGTACAGACTGTGAAGGGACTGAGGGGTGGGAGAGAGACAGAGGTGTTAGGGGGAGGAGAGGGAGGGCTGTTGGAGAAACTACCTACCTCTGGGCTTTGGCTAGATTGTTACAAGTCCTTAGGTTAAGGCCTTGCCTTAGGATGGCAGGGGGAGGTATTGATCCTCAGGGAGGGAAGGCTGTTGGTTGTGGCTGAGTCCCAGCTGCAGGCACTCAGTGTTGAAATGCCTTGCCGGAAAGTCTGCTATTTGGGGAGGGGACTTGGATATCTGCAGAACTTCACGAAGGAGCTCTGGCCTGACCTGGGGAAGTGGGGGAGGGAGAAGGGGTCCAGGGCCAACGAGCGAGGAGCTTGACTGAAGCCTCTGGAACAAGGTCCTGGAGAGTAGGCACCGGTCACCAGGACAACAGGAACGCCTAGTAGTCTCCGTGGTAACGGCGGTCTGGTCTCCTCCCCGGTGGGTGAGGTCTCCTGAGAGGGTTGCATTGGGCCTCGAGGGGACGAACCCAGAGGGTTCACTTTTGGAAAGTGGGGTGTGTTGCGGAATCTCAGTGAGCGAGTGTCTGGGTAGGATTTGCGGAGATCTGTGCGTACGTCCGGGGAAGTCTGGGATTGTCAGTATAGGGTTCCCTTGAGATATCTGTGGGGCGGTCGTTGGGGGCTGTGAGGATCTGAGGGGGCCTCGGGTTCTGTGATTGGGGTGAGAAAGGCAGGTTCTCCGGTAGCTGGGGCGGGGGCGGAGTCTGTGTGTCCTCGAAGCCCAGCAGGACTAAGTTGGGGACCAATAGAGTAGGGCGGGGGCGGGCTTTACTGACAGGGACCAATCGAGCCGGCAGGGGGCGGGGCGTCACGCCGACGTCAAGCCGAGGCCGCCGCCGCGGGGCCTGGTTATCGCCGGTTCAGCGCAGCCCGGAGTCGCCCAGGCCTGAACTCCCACCCAGGTCCCCGGCCCCCGCCGTGGGCCCGCGAGGATACCGGAGGCCTCCCCCCGGGGGTGGGGAGCGGAGCCGCGGGTCAGCTCTGCGAGCGCCCCGCGCTGGCCTGTCCGGCCCCGCCCCCGCCCCGGGCCATGGCCCAGCCCTTGTCCCGGCCCCTCGTCCTATCCCGATCCCCGCCTTGGCCCCCGGCCCCGCCCTCGCCCCGCTTCCCAAATCGGCCCCAGCCGCTGCCTGGGTCCCCGTCCAGGACCCCCTTCCAGTCCCTGCCCCTGGCCTGGCCCCCATCCCGGCCTCGGCCCTTGTTCCACCCCCTGTCACAAATCCCGGTCCAGGCCCTGTCCCATCCCCATTCCCAGTGTTTGCTTAAGGCCCTGGCTCAACCCGGGTCCTTGCTGCAGTCCCCGTCACAGCCCCTCCTTCCGTCCCACTCCCTGCCCTTGTTCAAGCCCCAGTGTCCAGCCCAGCCCAACCCATTATCTCAGCCTTTGCCCTCATCTCTGTGTTTACCCAAGTCTCTCCCGCTAGTTCCCCCCATCTCTCATACTCTGCCCCTCTCCCAGCCTAGACTCAAGTCTGGGTTTCAGCTGCCGCCAGCCCTATTGCTGCTGTTGCTGTTCTCTGTCCTTGGCCCAGGGGCTGGTGAGTGCAGAAGCAGGAAAGATTGAGACAGGAATGGGGTTCGGGCAGGGAGGGATGGGCTGGAGAGATTCAGGAGAGGTGGGACCTGGGGAACTAGATCACTGGGGAGCAAGTGGGAGAAATAGGAGAGAGGTCTTACACAACAGCGGGATTGGCAGGGTCAAAAGAGTGGTAATTCATTGGGTTTGAGGCTCAGCAGGTGGCTTACAGTTTTTAGGACAGAGACTCCAAGATTTTTTCTGGTGTCTATCCTAATCCCACTTTGACTTTTGTTTTTCCAGGGAAATCTTGCGGGCTTTGCTCCTGCTTACAAAGTTTGATGGGGGAGAGACAGGTCCACATCAGAAGCCTCTAGTGCTGTGTGGGAATATATAGCCCAAACCTTTGAGATGTTGGGGATGCATTCAAATAGCATGAAAAAGAGTTTTAAAGCAAACAGATGAATATGGATTAGTTGCCATTATAATGCGTTTTCTTCTTGTAATGATTCTTATTCCAGAGAAGATTGATTTGCCTAGGAATAATTCCTGATACTTTTAGAGCAGGGCTGAAACTCGGAGGCTATTTTACAGATGGGGAAACTGAGGCTCAGGGAGGGAGCAGTTTGTCCAAAGTCAGGTAGCTTGTGAATGACAGTGCTGGGGCTAGAAAAGAAAGTTTCCTAATTCCTATCTCATACTAGTATTTTTTTTTTTCCCACTGCAAGTGTATACCTAATAGAGAAACAGACCCAAGTGGGGGAAGGCTGAAAGCACAACCTCCCGTCTCTCCTGTCTGCCCACAAGGGGGCTTTATCCACAAACTGTTCCTTATTTGCCGGGCGTCAGCCAAGTGCCACCCTCCGGTGGGGAAGTGACTTGGACAGGAGAGGGAGAGGTCCAGTTTTTTAATGGGTGGAATGTGAGAGGAGGAGGGGGTGTCCTGGTCTAGGGGATGTGCCATGAAGATGGCTCCGTCATGAAATCACTGTAGTCTTCATGCCCCAAGTCCATAGCCACCTCTGATAGGTGTCACTCTAGATAGATGGAGATGTGCCTGATGGAGTCTTTGGAAATAACAGCCAACAGAGCAGCTGGGGGTGGAGAGTGTGGGTATTTGAGTTCTGGGGGCCTGGTTCAGTGTACAAACGTTAAAGGTCACAGCCCCTGCAGAGATATCTAGTCACTTAGGTGTTTATGTAAGTGAGGGATCTGTAGGAAGGCTGGCAGCATGTGTACATGCTTGTGTGTTGTTGAGTGTAGACATATGCAT